TTGGGGCTAGTCTGGTGGTAGCCGGTCAGAATCTTGCCTTGGGCTGGGCTCCCGCGCCGACGGCGGCTGTCCTGTGCTGGCGGCGGGGGTGGAGGAGCACGTCGACGCCCGCTCCGGCGACGACGGCTGTCCGGTGCTTGCCAACACTTCCTGCCATAGTCATAGCAGCAGTTCCTGAACCGAACGCAGCCTGGGTTGCACTGGCAGCGGAACTCGGGATGGAAGCTGCCGCGACAGCCGTAGTACCAGCAGCCGACCCAACCAGCTGCGGACTTGAATGACGGGCGGAAGGCAGTCGCGTTGCTCGGACTTGCCCCGGCTTCTGGGCTGTGGGGGGCGTCCTGGCTTGAGACATTCGGGGGCAGCAACGCAGGCTCAGCCTCCAGAACTTGATGGAATTCTGCTTTCGTGGCGAGCGTGTCGTTTGCCCTGCCAGTCTCATTCGCCCTAGGTGCGACTTTCAAGCCGTCCTGGGACGAACTGCGATTCGGGCTCCCTGCACTGCGGTTGCCTTGCCGCAGATTGCGGTGCACCTGAGTGTTCAAGTCGCCCATCACAGTCTGGCTCAGGACCAAGCACAGCCATGTTGATAAAGCCAACGCAGACCAGCGAAACATTGCTTCGTGGGTACTCCCTGCAAAGCCCGAATGTCCGATCTTCAGCCGAAATGGCTACGGCACCGGTCCTTTCACGTGCAGTGTGGAGTTTATAGGTCGGGAAGATGCCAGATGTGCGAGTCAAACTGCGTGATGGTAATGGCTACGACTGTGTTGCTAGCCTTTGGAACTTGACGCCTGCGGCTGTCCTTAATTATGTGTGAGTGTGTGAAGCTTGCAATCTCAGGCAGGAGCACGGCCAAGCTGCTTCGCTTCATCAGCGTCTTCATGGCTTTAGAATTCTGACAAGAAGTACATGCGGGGCTGCAAGGATATCACAGGAGGTGCGGTCAGGCTTATGAATCTTGTGTAGGCCAGCAGCTGCTGAGGGAAAAATCCGTATCTAGGACGGTGCACTGTGGGAGCATGCTGAGCACATAGCCGATGACGGGAAAACAAGTTGGCATGCGGCACGAACTCGTCTGCAAACAACGGCTACGGGTCGTCGGTGTCGTGCAGAGATCCACAAGAAAGCGAGTAACCATCGTGCTGTCAGAATCTTGCTTCTCTCCAAAGACTCTGAAGAATCAAAGGTCTGGGGCACTTGCTTGAGCGCATAGTCTTGACAGGCCCGGGCTAGGGAGATTCGAAGATTCTCGCCTGGGCTATGTGTGAGGGGCCGCCTTTTACCGATGTGTTTGAAGCTCCCCGCCTTAGCAGCACAGAAGCGAGTGTTGTCGCTATCCGCTCAACGCAAAATGGCGAAGAAATGCGCCGACTTATGACTGCAAGCTCTACAAGTCTACATGCCCTAAAACTTGTAATCGTCTCTGAGACAATGGCAGAGGCGATTTGCAATCGCGGCCGCTAGCTGATTGTTGGCCTCGTCGGGCTTCAGAAGAGACCAGAGAAAGAAGCCTCCCCATCAAGAGCTCTCTTGGCCTCCCCTGCAACCTAACCTTTCAAAACTCGCAGACTACCGAAAACAGTCCTCGGCCTTGAAGTACCTTTACCGTAACCTAGACGTCGCCTTTACCAAGAATACGTGCTGGCCCGCAACTCAACTCCTGAGGTCAGCGGTAGCTCTGACTTTGAAACGACCAAGCCGAAGCGCTCCGAAGCCGCGCGTGCGTCCCCGAGACGGAAATTCATTCCCTCTGCCCCCAAAAAAGCCACACCGAAATCCTCGACCACCAAAACCGTGGCGAAGACAAGCTCAGCCACGCACCAGCTGCCTGGGTGTGTGGGGCGAAAGCAAGCCACCAGGCCTCGGCAACGGTTCTTTGTAACTAGCGCCAGGAATAGTACTGGCGGTGGTAGTAGTAGAGTAGCAGCAACAGCAGTAAGAGTAGTCGTCGTCGTGGTAGTGGTTATAGTACAAGTAGAAGTAGACAATGGTAGTAGTAGTCGTCGTCGCAGGAGTCTAGTCGTTATTTTTTGTCACCCACCTCGCAAGCCTATGACAGCTCCGCGGGGTAACGAGTCGGCAGCTATAAAAAAACAGCAAACTTTCTACACTAAACTCCGAGCTACAACATCAGCACTCAAGCACAAGAGAAATCCTTGCTGTTCTAGACTTCGGGCCGGGCAGATTCAACAATTCCAAGTGCACAATCTTACAGGCCTAGGTCAGGGGACAGGGATAACAGCCCAACACTAGGCAACGGACCAACTAGACCAGAAACCTTACCCCAAGTACGGCTAGGCCCCAAACCAAAGGGGAATAGTAGCAGTAGTAGTAGTAGTAGTAGTAGTAGTCGTAGTCGTCGTCGTCGTCGTCGTCGTCGTCGTAGGTATATATAGTATATAAGTAGTTGGAGTTAGCAGCTAGCAGGTACGAACTATAGTAGCAACAAAGCAGCAGTAGCAGTGGTAGTGGTCGCCGTCAAAGTGGTAGTGGCGGCAGCGGTAGTGGTAGCGATATTGGTAGAGGGGAGTAGCAGCTCCTACTCAAACCACTGCTCCTGCTACTGCTACTGCTACTTCTGCTGCGACTGCGACTAATCTGCAACTCCTTCCCGCCACGACTCCAAGAGAAATCGAACGACATCAAGGCTTCGGGCCCATGGTAGAGGTTTGGAAGCCCTGTAATAGGCACAGGCTCTACGAAGCGCTTGGCGTCCCAGTCCTGGCGTTTGCGGGGCGATTCGTTGTTTTGTTATGTTGCTCCTGCATCTTAAGCCCCCGGTAAGCGACGCAGATCTCCCCCCCAGCTTTCGACCTGTAGAATCGTACGATTAACCCGGGCGGCGGGGTGAAAGACTCTGCAAAGCTAAAACCTCGTCGGAAATGTTGAAGGCACCTCTAGGGACCACCACCTACAGCCTACGGTTCTCTACTGGTTCGAGTCTGCTTGTTTTCCCACGTCGTAGAGATCGAGAACCTCCTGCATGGTCCATTCCACGAACGGGGTGCCTGCTGATTGCGCAAGCTGCAGCCGCCACCAGATTCGGGACTCGGGTTTGCCCTAAATGCGCCGTAAATCCCCAGACCGAAAATCCTCAAGATAATTCGGAGCCTCGGATGGAACAAACTCATTCGGTGATCAGTAAGCCGAAGTCTTTCCAGCCTCTGACGGGATGTTCTTCAACATCTCCGCAACCAACACCTGAATACATGTGCAATATGTGCTGGCCCCGTGTTTTTGCGAGTCGCAGCTACACTCTGAGTGTCTCATGCGCACAAACCCTCACACCTAAACGTCCATAATTAATATCTTTGGATATACACATATAGATTACCAGAAGGTATACGTGCCTACATTAACATCACCATAAGTGTCTGTAAGTGTGTGTGTGTGTGCGCAGATGTTCGAGCCGCAGCCACTCTCTTCGAAATTTCGCGACGCCGGCATTGCTGCACGTGTGACATGCCAATTCGCCCTCTGACTTATGGTCGTTCATGGCGAAGGAAGACCGCAACAATAATGATGACGATGATGGTGATGATGATGATGCTGGCGATGAAGTCTCTGCTGTGACCATGATGCTGGATACAACGACTCACAACGACGGGGATGGTGTTTACGATGCTGATGACGGGGGGGACGACGAGAGAATCATCATGGTGCAGTGGAGGAAATGAATGCGAAAACAGGAGCAGCGAGGCTCTCTGCCTAGTCACCCTCACTTGGCATCAGACCGGGCAGTCGGTGGTCACCGTGAAGGGGTTGGGCAGGTCCGGTACTGCGCCTGGCCACGACCAGCTGTCCGGTCCACCCCGCCCCAAAACACCCAGAGCTGCCACGTCGCATACTTTGGCGGTTACGACCGTCTGAGGAGCAGGCCGAGCTTCCCACAAATGCTCGGATCCGGCCTGGTGGCAAAAGGTGGCAGCTCAGCTTTCTCTGTGTCCTCCTTACCACCACCAGCACCACCAGTAGCAACAGCAACAGCCAGCACCAGCACCGCCACACCATGATCATCATCATCACCAACATCCTCATTTGCTCGGTCATCGCGGTCAACCATTCTTCAAAATGTCCTCATCCTCGCCGGCGCGCTCGACGTCACTGAGACCATCATCCCCATCATGCCGGAAACCGTTTCTTAAAGATCACCACAAGTGTCGTCATCATCGTCCGCCACCATCTTGGCCCGCGGCTCGCCACATCCTGAGTCTGGCACACTGCCCGTCCAATCTGCGTCTCGGCAGGCGATCGGCGCTGTTGCCATACCTGACGAATGTTGACAAGAATGGCTCCGGGGCCCCTCCGTGCAACCTAAATTCCTGAAATCGTCATCCAAATCGAAACAGTGCAGCGAAGTCAACGCTAATCAGCAACACTCTCGGCTTGAGATGCTCCCACAGCTGCTCCACAGTGGCCTCGGAGCCGTTGATCTGCAAAGCTCGGGACGTGAGGCTCGCCGCCCCACACTTTCCTCCCAAATCACGAGGTGCAAGGGGTTTAGATTTTGCGGTGTGAGGATGCTGACGCTTGAGACTTACGACAAGTCCAGGGAAGCTGAGGAAACTCTCAATTTGGAAACATTGAGTTGAGAATATCCGTTGTCCTGCCTCCGGCAGGACAGCAGGCAAAGCGTTTCCAATGCACCCTGCTCAAAACCCTGCTCCAAACGGTCCCCCAGTGGCGAATCTCACGGCAAGGCCATGCCAAACAGCTGCAACCATGAATGCTAGTACGTAATCCTACACAGGTGAACTGTAAGGACAGCTTACCGCAATTACAAAGGCGCGTCGGGCGTCAGGGTGTCCGACCTATTGAAAGTTGATTGACTCTAAGGTAAACAGCATGTTGTAATGCGATTGGCTCCAAAATCAATAAAGGAACCCCACAAGCAAGAACCGTAAAACCCTTTGTGCGAGGTCTCTGAAGTGCCTCCCAGTTGCCCGCCTCGGCGATGGCTCGAAAACCCAAACCCTAACAAGCAAGAGAATCCTCAACACGTTTCACGCATCAGGCCCTGTCGTGCGAAATCGGAGCACGCCAGACATTATCCTGAACTGATCGCTATACCCTTGGGAACGTAGAAGGTGCCAGGTTGCACGGAGGAGTTCATGTACTGAAGCCTTACTATAGGATCCTCAAGAAATAGAATAGTGTTTTGGTTCGTATTCTAGTATAGTAGGAACCCTATGGAATAGTAGTGGGAATCATCCAAACTTCTAGAGACCCTTATAGGTCCCCCAGCCCTCCTCCAGGCCCTGCCTGGCGAGCTCGGGAGGTGCTCCGGCAAGGCCACCTCACCAAAAGCCTGGCCCATGAGGATTTCGGAGCTCACAACTCATATCTCTGTAGTGGGGGGAATATTGACGTAGAAATCTAGACAGTAGGGACTAAGGGGATGCTGCTCCTACCTATTCAGGCCCCCACATTGCTTGTAACTTCGATCTCCTCACAAAAATTGCCTCGATCCGGTACACTTTCGGAACTGCACACCCAGCAAGTCCTAAACCCCTAACTCTGTTAAATTCTGTTTTGAGGAGGAGACCCTTTATGCCTGTCTTGTCCCCTGACCAGCAAAACTCTTAGCTAGTATAGGGGCCTTTTTTTTGCATCTGGACTTGTGCAATCGCCAGACACTGTCAACCCAGGGGGCATGTGCAAATCTGAGACTACACTTCCCACCTCCGACACGACAAACAATGAAAGCTTCACACGGCCTGAAGCTCCACCATTTATCCTGGAGACATCTCGGGCATCAGAGCACCCAATCAGCACACTGAACCACCCTTTAACCCGAAACGCACCGAAACATCCCCAAAAATCCTTAAAGCCCAAAAGCACCGTATTTGTGGCAATGAAACGGGTCGATCTCAGCCTCCTCTAGGCGCTCTTGGGCGAGAGTCCGCGGCAACTCGGACGGAGACAGAGGTGCCGTCTCCACCCGGGCCGCACCCTGCCCAAATCTCTGCTTCAGGGATCATCATAGTTGTGCCTTGCCAAGACTATCTGTTGGGTTACCATCATTCCTGTAGCTGAGGGCTCGTACTTTCACTTGGCAGCTAAAGCTAGGAAAGGAACCTCCTCAAGGCAGGTCGGCGAGGCAGTTGGGCTAGGCAGCTAATGTAGGGGCCTGAATGATTACAGAATGAGGTTTTGGGTACGTCGTACTACAATGATAAAAAGGAAATCTAAGGAATAATATTGTGAATCACTAAGGCTTCCATACTAGTCGTCAGCCACCATGATCCAAGCATTCCAACCACCAGCCAGATCTCATAAACCCGTTTTTTAGCCTAGACTGCGCTAATCCCAAGACCCCAAACCCTAACCTTACTGTGGCCTTCCAGGAACCCTCAAAGGAACCTTAAGCCTTAAGCCCTAAACCACACCAGATCCGAGCAGCCCGTTCTTGACAGTACAAACCTGTCCTGCCTGGAAGTAAGGACTGCAACGCATGCATATGTCACCGACACTGCACATACACACACATGTATACGTATCATACATGCAGGCAGCGCCGTCGCTGTTGTTTTGCACACAACGTTTGAAGGAATTTTCTGCAGGCATGCATCCACTGTCCCTGTTACCAGCAGCCTGCACACCCTGCCCGGCCAGAGACAAGGCATCAAGATACCTCGGATCGGAGGGATGCCAAAGCCCTATTGAATCCCAAAGCCCTATACTGCTCTATACATCCTACAAAACACTGTGCTCCCAACCCGCCCAAGGTCCCTCAAAAGCCCCGGCTTCAGTCCGAGGAGCGAAGTGAGAGATGCAAGCTGCCTCGGGTGTTCGCAGGCTTCGTGGAAGAAGATGGGTTTCGTCTCTCTCTCTCTCTCTCTATATCTCTCTCTCTCTCT